TCAACATTGAAGAGTACGAGGCTGGAGAAGCTCGTGATGCAGAGATTGAGTACCCCAAGTGGATGCAGCGAATTGAGTTTGGGTCAAAGGTCCTGCCAATCGAACCTTGCACCATTGGAGATGCTCAACCAGAATTCATCAAGATCCTCCTGTTGCAGATGGGATTACATATCGTCAGAATCTACAGACTATTCCAACGGAACTTCTGTGGAGACATCGGGACGGCATGGAAACATTTTCAACAGAACCAGAAATTTAGGATGGACCTGGACTCAAGGACACCTTACCTGGGCGAGGATGAAAATGGTGAACTCATTGAACCAACTGCACAACAGATGAAAGAGCTCTACAAAGAGATCGGCCGACCAAATCAAAAGGACGACATCGGAGAAGAGGGATTCGTCAATGCTTATTATGGGGCAGTGGTGCTCAAGCGACTTCTCGTATATACCCTTGAATGTGGCTACACGTATGATGATTTGCAAAACATCTTCTTTGATGAAGAGATGGAGAAGCTGTCGAAGCGTGACACAACAATGGATGAGATGAGAAAGACCACAGCGGCCCGCGACGCCCTTGACCGACAAGACGTCTTGGTCAGAAGAATCATTGCAGGTGCATATAGGGTAAATGCTGTTTATTTCTTCAGGAACGTCGACTTTCAAGACACAATCACACTGAACCCAGTTGACATTGTGTGTGCTCTTCGTCCACCACTTCGAAGAATATCACTTTTACACCTGATCCTTCAGAATGGCCGACAATTGCCACGACCTCTACTCCAGAAGCTATATGATGCAATCGATGATTACAATCACATCAAGCAACGGGAAGATCAACGACCAAGGTGGGGCATTCACTTGACAGAAGCCCACATACTTGCGATTGCTGATACCCCAACTCCTGCTGATCGTGAACGTACCAACCCAGCCGCTGGCAAATCGAAAGCAGCCCCGAAGGCAGAACCAGCACTGGGAAGAGCGTCAAAAGCGAAAGCATCATCGTCAGCAACATGGAGAACAGTTGAAACCGCTCCTCCGCCAAAACAAGCTCCAGTGACCCCGCCAAAGAAGGGTGGAAAAGACCAAGGAAAAGGTGGAAGATCTTATTCACACCGTGGCGGAGACTGGAATCATCAGGGATACTATGGATGGGGATATAGATGATTAAGCGATCTGACCTCTGCATAGGTCCTGATTGAACCTGGCGATGCGAGGATGCAATCATTGCTCGAGATTTACCTCTACTTCATTTTTAATGATTTCTGAGAGGACTCTGAGCCGGCTAATTTAGAACCACACATTTTTTTTTGAACATCATTGCATGAAACGCTGAGTTTCTACAGCGGTCTACATCTCAACCGACGAAGGGACGGGAAGGTAAACTTCTAGTTCCATAGTCATCCTTGTGTTTGATTTTTTTCTAATTCACATGCTTGAGTGGGACTCCATGCTGGCTACGCCACATCGGATGAACCTCAACGCTAGACACCGACTACGTCGTGTCTGCGTGCACGTGAACAGATCCTTTATTTTTTTTGGTAGAGATCGTAGCAAGCCGCCATGTAGATTGGAAGTTCTGAAACAGACTTTAGCTCTCCATAATTCAACAAATGAACAGCTGCAGATGTAGTGGATCAATTTAAGGGACACTCCTTTGCGTGTGGCCGACAAAGTTGGCCATACGTGGGGGGTGCGAATAGAGTGTAGGCTACGGACAGTTGTACATTACCTCATAATTCATCCCTATAGGATCCACAGCCAAGGGGCACATCAACTCGGCCCTTTGGCTCAAGAACTACTGCAGGAGCCTGAAGAAAGTCGCGCCATGCTGAAGTTGCCATTCCCGTGTCGTCGTCACTGATCACATTCGTATCAAGACCAAGCAACAGTACATAATCGGGGAGACAACCTCCGATTCATACATACATACATACATACATACATACATACATACATACATACATACATACATACATACATACATACATACATACATACATACATACATACATACATACATACATACATACATACATACATACATACATACATACATACATACATACATACATACATACATACATACATACATACATACATACATACATACATACATACACACATACATACATACATACATACATACATACATACATATATGTGTTATACATTCTATCATATTTATGTCATAACATATAATTTAATAATATATATATGTACATAAGCTGTTTTGGCTTGGATGAGATAATCCCACTTGGCTTTGGGGTTGCGGGGTTTGACCAGGCCTAGTGACCTTCCTGATGTTCCCCTTGCTGGTTGGACTCGCCTTTGCGGCCGACAAAGGCAGGTCGCCGGAGAAGGTATGTATTATGTGTATATATATATATATACATCATTTGTCTACAATAATAGAGTATGATTATAAAATTCTGTAAATAGATATCATGTATAATAATGATCTCTATAGATACAATGTAACTATCATCTATCTATGTAAATATATTGAAATTGCGTAGAAGTAGAAGTGCAATTCTCTTTATAGTTGCAGAGATTTCGTCAGTTTGAAATGACCCAGTGGCGGGGGGCAAAGATGGCTCTGTTTGAGATGCTGTTTGTCGTTGACCATGTCACAACGTCACGTATCTCTGAATGGGTGGAACGAATGATGTGTTGGCGTCTTTGAGGTTCCCTTTCCGATCCGGCTGAATTTCCACCGTCAGCGAGCTTTGATCCTCAGGAATGTTCTCTAGAGCCGAAAAAGTTCACATGACCAAAGCCATGACGAGTCGTGGGCCCAGAGGCAGTGCCAGGCTTCGAGCTTTTCCAAAGGGATTTCAGTGGGCTAGAAGGTGCCCATTGGCACATAGAATCTCAATTTAAGTGATCAGATGACCCAACGGTTGCATGGTTGTATAGCACAGCTATTGCACCAGGCAATAGCAGTCAACATACTCACTCGCAAAAACAAGCGTTTAGCAAATATTCCAACCTTCAGCATTCATGTAAATGCGCCAACAAACAGACAAACCCGCAAAGACACACACACACACACATGTCACATACCTGTGTATGTAATGTACTGAAGTTGTAATTGTAATTGTAATGTCGATGTAATTGTAATTGTGATCGTATTGTAATTGTAATGTACATGTAATGTGGGTAGTGTGGATGTAATAGTGTATATAACTGTACTGTCCTGTAATGTACTGCAGTGTCAAGCAGGTCCTGGACTTTGGAATAAACGTCCCCTGCAAGGTGTTGTCGATAGATGGTACTACCATACGCTGCAATATATATATATACATATCAATATCAATATATATATATATATGTACACATAGATACACAGGCAAACATATCATCACATGTATGTACATTCACACATATATATATATATACATATGCATATAGACACATACATATTACATACATGGGCATGGAACAGAGGACATCAACGTCATACACGATGACTGGTTGAGGCAAAGGAACGAGGCTTTTCGAGGACATGACTGTCGAGGTCCGGCTTCTGGAAGACTGGGCGAATGGGTCATCTTATCCCTGCCCAATTGGGGTATGCAGCTACTCATTTCTAAAGATGAAACATTTCTGTCAACTCCAAGGTGTAGAAAACAACATGGAAGTCCCTGTGAGTTGTGGCAAACCAGTTAATGGGCGAGAGTCCCTCTCCAACTCATTTTATGTAGGGTAAGCCATGATATGATAACTCATGGAAATCCAGCTGGGTGATGTGAGGGTACGGAAGCAAGGTAAAATCTCACTCACATCAGGATTGTAGCTACCAGCAGCTACCACTCAAAAGGACTTATGGCATTCTCATTCCGAACGCGGGGACCCTGCATCTGCATCGTGGATTTCCATGTGCTTCCCTGATCCTACTTGGGTTTCTTGTATGAGTTTGCGACCATTGAACATGATGCTGGCATGATCTGGGATGATCTCTGCCTGAAGCATGTAAGTGGAGAGCAACTAAACCCCAAATCCCTGAACACAAAGGAACACACATGACAGGATTGGGCCTTGATTCCTGTGAAGGGAAGCATGAGACCATTATTGCTAGCAGACTTGCTGTCTGAAACTGCTGCCGAGTGGGCGCAAAAGCTGGATGAGATTTTGTTTTGATTTCCTCATGCCTTGGCCGTAGAGCATAGTAACTAAGTTAAAACCCCAAGCATCAACCCACCATCCGGTCATCGTTAACATCTACGGATAACCCCCCATTGAAATACAAATTGCGGATAATTTTCCCAACAACCTAGTTTTTTTTTAATGTTTTTTTTGCAATGTGGTTAGAATCTTGGAAGTACACTCCGGTCTTTTGTATAACATAGCTATTGAAAATTACACATTTGTAGATGATCTAACTGAATTTAGCTTTTAACCATGGTGATTTGCCGTAGCTACATGAATTGCAATTGGGTACAACAGTTTTTGTGAGGTTCCCCTAATTCCGGTGAAGTCTTCCTTCGACCCAAAAAGCGACCAAAAAGCAGCGGGAAGGAGCTGCAAAAGGCTGAAATGAAGATCCAGAAGGAGCTGGATCTGTTGGGGTGGTGGAAATCACTGATGACTTTCCCATGGGGAATTCTGTATGGTTTTGGATGGCCTATTTGTCCTTGTACTGTAAAAAGTTGTTTGGGTTATACTCAGTATAGTTTATAGCCATCTATGAAGGGGGAACAAGACTTCCTTTCCTGAACCACGGGATGGAACGTGGTTACAAATTTTGAGACAGCCCTACAACTCTTGAGCCTGAACATCCAGATCACTGATGTTAAAACGTAGCTGAATTCTTCTAAGGCCTTACGGTGTTGACATTCAAGTTGATCATCAACAATAAATCATTCCCAAAATGACAAAATTAGAAGGGTGGTAACTATCTTCCCCAGTCATGGTAGTTGTTTATAGCATTGGGTGAATCCCACATGATATGAATCTGCAACCATCCTGATCCATCCTCATGGCAGCCAGGAATATGGTATGGAGCTTTCAGATGAAGATGTCGCCAAGTTGCTGGCAAAGGACATTGACAAACACAAGTCCAAGGCTGTGCCCGTGGATGCTGCAATAAAAGACCACTTTTTTCGGGGTTCCACAGCAGTGATTTTGTATCGATTTGGTCGTGGTGCTTTGGCCATTCAAAAGTGGTACCCCTGGTACCCGCTGTTCCCATTTGAATCCCGTGCTCAGCAGTTCCAGGCAGCGTATTGCGTGGGCGCCACACGCGGATTGTTTGGTGGAAAGCGCATTGGGGACAAGGCGAGCGCTGCAGAAAGATGTTTGCTGCAGTAGGTCACTTGTTGGACTCATGAGCAGAAGTTGACGCAATAAACCAGATCTTATTGTGTATTTTTTTGAAAGGCTGAATCAAATGGATCAAACCACAACCTCTCTGCATGTGAAATCATCCGACTTCCTACATGACAAGGGCCAATATTTGTTCTAGAAAGCGAACTGCTGTATTCTGTTTGAAGAATTTCCAACAGTTGTTCTACTAAAACAAAAACTTGCAAACTTGGGAAATGTGGTAAATTTGCTAAGTAATCCTAAACTTCAATTACTGACTTACCAAGTTGTACCAAATGCTTCAGCAGCTGGTGAACCTGCGCAAGGTAAACCAACTTTTTTGGCAGCCAGCCAGAAGATTACCAGAGGGTAAATGAATTTGGTGTCACAATGTGTACACGAAGCCAATTTTTGGAGAAACCAAACATTCTCTACCTATTATATAACAAAAGTTGCAAAAAACACACAAACAAAATAGTCATCAACTGGGCAAACCCTGGTTTGGTAGGTGTTTCTTTTGCAATTTTCATGAGAAAGTGGGAAAAGAAACTAACTAGCTATCTGTTTTGTCGGGGCACATCCGTTTGCCTCCCAATTTTGGGGTACGCGGGTACAAATACGCATTTTTGCTGGCAGAAATGATGACAGTTCATACATACATAAATATATAGTGACCAGCCCATTGCGAGTGGGCCAGGCAGATCGACAACGACCCTCAATGAAGTCGGTGGTCCCCATTAGCGAGGCCCGGTTGGTCGGTGAAGGGGTACCTTCTGGAATAAAATGGGACTTGGATCAGTACATCTGGGGATTCAGTTTTTTTCCCACTAATTGGGTAAACCGACTGGTGAAGCCTTAATTTGCCACCATTGATAGGACATTTCCTATAAAGATGTGGATTTACTCTCCGGTATGTAAATAGTGATATCGCCAATTGAACCGGAATATACGGATTGGTGGATGGCGAAAATGACCTAAGTTTTTGGCGATTTTCATGGGATCATCATATCTTGTAGCCAGCTAAAAATGAACTCGTTCTTTGTCTGCAAGGCGTCCAAGATCATGTGAATTGGCCGAGACAGATAGGTACTCCAAACTGATAGGTACTTCTACCCAACGTGACCCCAAGAAGGGTCATTTGGGTTCCAGGTATACAAAGAAGTCCATTCACAAAGATTGCCGTAATCTCATGTGCACGGAGAGTTACACACAATCACATGCAAATATGGCCGGGGGGTACCTTAGTGCTTGCGGATTTTGCTTGAGCAGAGAAGGAACGTTTCTGCCCAGGCCAGTTGGCATCAGGAACTGCTCCAAAAAGGCCTCCCATCACATAGTGAGATATTATCATTTTCTCGATGATATGGGCCGAATTTTGCAAAAAACACCAGTGTAACTGTCATGGACGAAGCACCGAATGAATCCTAATGACCTAATCAATTTTCCAGTATGTCCCATAAAATATTCCTAACAATATCTCATAAGTATCCCGTGCATCCCATCAGGGATACTGCCAGGAGCCAGTTGCAATCGCAGGCGCAGATCCGGCAGGAACAACAGACTTGGTGGCTTTTTTTTCCATCTCTTAAAACCTTGACTTCACTTGGAAAACAGAGTTTTTTTGAGTGAATCTCACAGGAAAACATATAGGTTCTACATGCGAATATAGGTCGGACTCCCTATATTCGCATAGTCCTGTCGATTTTGTTTGCCAAGTCTGAGACAAATTTCCCTTTCTCAGGGTTCGGAAAGAATCACGAGTCACGAAAGTATCCTACCTGGTATAGCCAATTGACAAGTCGGAACATGGCCGAAAGACCCAATAAAGGATGCTGAACGCTGAGGGACCAAAGGGGAACTCCAACATGGACCAGTACCATTTTACGAGGGTTTTCACCGCATTTAGCTGTTGTATAGGGTGATTTCCCAGCGGAGTGTGCGAGAAGGGTGTAATGTTTGTTTCAGAGGCATCCCAGATTACCCAATTTCTTGAAACGCTGTCGCTTTTCGCACATTTCAATACACACACACACAGTGTCGCCCAAGTATATTGATGTTTATTGTCTATACCTGGAGTTGGAAGCCAGCACAGAACTGGTGTGCGGACATTGGTTGAATCCTCAATGTCTGTTGGTAAAGAATCCAATGTTCCATAGTTTTTTAGTGGCATTTTTCAATGTTCAGTTTTTCAACAGCATTATTCACCCTCCAATCATTTTCAACTATAGTAGACAATGTTCAAAAATGTCCAAAAAACGAGCTATTTTCCATGCTTAAACCCCAGCATTCTGCTTGGAACCGACTCTCACTTGAGGACCTCCTGGGTCAGTGGAACCTGAAGAGCCTGGCCCCGAGCCAGCCTGTGTGGTAGTCAGGTGGCCCAGCTTTGCGAAGCGTTGCTTCGCCATCGAAATGGGAGGTAAATCTGCGGGAGACACCGTGACACCTCGTGTTTTTTTAAAACTTGTGGGGGTACAAAATGAGAACATTGGCTTTAAACCATTTTTTCCCCGTTCAAACAATCCATTGACCGCTGTTCTGAGTGTTTTCTGGTTGTTTCAGCATGGTGCATTTGTATTAAATAGGAATACGTCGGAAATAGGGCGATTAAGTGGAGCATCAGGTGCTGGTTTCAGAGGTGCATTGTTCATCAGATGATTTTCTCCCGGCTGAGGTTTAGTCAGCCATATCCCACGAAATCTTAAACTTTAAATCATGGCACGGATGGGAAGGCAAGCATTAATGGGTGAATTTGAAGATGAATCTGATCCCATCCCAGAGACGGCAATTGGTTGTTGATTTAGTGGTTGATACTGTACATGGAGGTGCCTGGAATCCTTATCTCTTTGTCTCTTGGATCTCTTAGGAAATCCACGGTTTTGGACCTACAAAATCACCAGTTGTCAATCCGTGGTTGCCAACGGGGGTTCACAGATGTTTCACAAAAGGATAAACCAAGGATAAACCAAGGATAAACCAGGTGCTGAGGTGCTGCAGTTTTCACCAAGACTATGAAGACTATGATGAGCAAACGGAGAAACCTACGGAATCCACAATGGCACAATGGCACAATGGCACAACGTTCAATGTCAAGTATTTTGGACATATTTGGACACAGGTGCCATAGGTTTATGTTGCAGGCACGACCCCTAGCCATGTCTCAAGGCGAAGCAAGAACTGTGAGCATTGTCACCAGACTGGACTCTGAAAAATGTCACCAGACCAGACCTGAAAGACTGGTGTTTTCAAAGCGGTTCATGGCGATATCACCACCTTATGAGGCTACGAACCAAATCCAACCGATGTCCACATCAATTCAACCAGCTGGTGGTTTCAACATGTTTCAACTTCAACTATTCTTTTCTGTCCACATATTTTCATCTACTGTAAATGATGCTGAAGTGACTCGTTTTTCTCAGAATGGTAGCTCAACCACCATTCTGAACGGGGCAGATCCGCTGCTTGGAAGCTCCTAGAAGTTCGGATTCGTGGTTACCAATATTTATATACCAAGTGATGCATATATATATATATATATTATATAATATATATATATATTATATAATATATATATATAATATATATAATATATATATATAATATATAATATATATATATATATGGTACCCCCCCCAAAACCCACCAAAAGTCATTTTTCACTGGTATTTGCAGTAATTTCAGTGTATTTTAGGTACCTTTTCTTCATAGTCCAAATTGAGGGGATTTAGGTATCATAAATCAATCAATATATTAAAAATAATAAATGCAACAAAAATAGATAACCAACATTTCCTTCAGGTTTCAAGTCTGACTCAAGCCTGGGCTCAAGTCTGAGTGACTTATGGATCCAAGATCCAAGATTTCCACCATGGATCCAAGAAAAGTTTTCTGGAAATCTTGGATCTGGATTCTTGATTCCCAACATTACTGTCTGGAGATTTTCAAGTCTGAACGCCTTCCAGACTTGAGATTCTCAAGTCTCGATCGACCTTGCCTGTCAATCTGGAAGTCAACATGCGCCTATCAATCTGGAAGTCAACATGTCAGCCTGGTGAGTTTGTCCGACTCATTCCGCACGTTTCCGTCATAGCATCCTTTCAGGCAGTCAGTCACAAGCTCCAGACAGCTTGCAGAGCCTGCTCGACCGGGTTATGGCCGGAGAAGTGCAGACAGCCTGTGGTTCGAAAGCATTTGGCTGCGATGGTCTGCAATATTGAGAGGGGGTAGAGGTTTCTCCGGTGGGGCTCCTCGGGGCTTGGACCCCGGAAGCTACGAGGAAAATGCTGCGTACCTTGACATTGCCGAAGTTGGTGCGTGCACAGCCAAAGAAGGCACAAGTGGCTCTACCCGCGCCTGTAACTTGGTAGATATGTAGACCCATGTGCAGCAGGTATGAGTATATACTCTGAATTGGTATTGACACTCTGCACTAAACTCAAGTGCACACATGTCTGCACCAAGTGTGCAAAACACGGCAGAGCACACATATTTCCGCACTCCGATCTTAGCTCAAGTTCCAACCTCAACGGCTCGAGTTCAGAGCTCACAGCTCTGCAATCTTCTTCTCAGCTGCTTCTAACTCTTCGCAGACGCGAACGTGATTTTCCACCAAATCATCGAAGTCAAAGCACAAGCTGCAGCGCTGAACCTCCGCAGGGCGTTCCATAGTCACATCCTCTCCCTCTTCAGGCGTGCCAGGGTTGAACGCGTATCCCTCTTCAGGCGTGCCGGGGTTGGACTGTGGGCCCACATTCAAAGGCGGATTTGGGGTGTACTCCTCATCGTTGGCGGCGGCACCTGGGTCAGCTGTGTACTCCTCATCGTCAGTGGTGATCTGTGGCCTTGCACCTAAGGCTGGGTTCGGGACCCCTCCCTGCTCTTCCTCGGAGTCCGACGATGAAGAAGACGAAGAGCTCGAAGAGTCGATAGAAACTGAGCCGGATGAGCTGTCTGCCACACCATCCTTCAATGCCGGTAGGACCTTAGCATTCAACATTGAAGGCATGAAGCAATTTGCAGCACACATGAACAAACTCGAGACACTAGCAGTAAACTTGACAGTCCCTAGTCGCATTGAAGTAACACAAGCATGCTCCATGTCTACATGCTTTGCAAACATGTGATTCCTTGTCTATCATTACAATGGGATTTCCTCGTTGTCTGTCAACAACCAACCTCTTGTCCGTGTCTGGCTTCAGCATGTTGCTTCTTCTTCTGGCATGTTCGCATTTTGGCTTCTCATCCAGCATCTAGACAGGTAAGTGCACCGGGGCTCTTCAGTTTCTTCTGTCCTCCATCCATGGCGAATGCCTTCATCGACGAGGCTATGCGCAGCTACGGTGGGAAAGAGTGGCGATTTGAAAGTCTACCTGTTCCTCGTTGTGAAGTGAAAATGCCAGGTGACATGGATGCACCTATCACTGTGGAAGACTTTTTGTCCTGCTGTCGCCAGCCTAGCGGTGTCAAGACCACTGTCATGATCTTGGATGTGCAACTAGCTGTGAGTGATTGCGGATCTCCTGGTGATGTCGCTTTGGCCTTGAAGGAGCAAAGGGTTGCAAGCTTGCCAGTTGCCTTGCACTTCGCTGAATCTCCACCAGCCGACTCCAAAGTTGGGGGCATTGTCATGGACAAAGGCAACGGGCAGCTGGATGTGATCAAGTATGTTACCTTCAAGGACAAGGTATCAACACGGGAGGCCACAAAACTTGCTGGCTCTGCGTATGTGCCCTTTCCTCGCCCAGGTCCGTGGTCTGTCAAGAAGGCTTTCCAGTCCTTGTTGGACAGGTTACCTGGACATCATGTGCAGTGGAGCACAGTGACGAAATGGGAAGCACAGTCAAAGAGCGGGTCGAGCTCTGCGTCCACTTGGGCCCCTGATACGCCTTCTCCACGGCGTGTCTTTTATCAATGACAACGCGCCAGAAACTGATGCCAACAATGAGCAGTACACATGGATAGCTCCATCGCAGGGTGGCCAGAAACAAAAGTGAGGATTATGGCGCAAAACAAGTCCAGAGCCTCCAATGGTGCCACCTTGCAAAGGGAATTTTCTTTGACTACTTCTTCATTGAAGCCCTTCCTGGCTGACAAGTTGCTGCCTCTCCTGTGCCCGCCGGCTCTAATCACTGTGCTCCTTGCCATGGGAAGATATCATATCCATCGGCTACAAGAAGATGCTGTGCCTGGATGGAGAAGGGCCAAGTCGCTTGACAACTTTCGACATCAAGTGGCCAATGTCTATGAAGGAATCTTCTTGGATGATCCCAACCGCGAGAACATCTCCATGGCTGACCTGAAGTCCTTCTTGACAGTGGAAGAAGAACAAACCACATCAGGTCGTTACAATGATGCAAAGCTCACCAGAAATTGCATGAGAGCGTATGCATCCAATTACTTGGGTCAGGCTGACGAACCAGCAGACGATTCCCGCACTTCCATCACAAGCGAAGAGTTCATGAAGATGACCAGGCGCTTGTTTGCCGAGGACAAAATGGCGGATGTCTTGGCTTGCTTGAAGCGCTCTCTTCTGCTTCTGATAGGGCAGCATGCTGTCTACCTCCGGCTCCCTAGCCAAGATCCAGAAGGCAAAGTACATCGCATCAAGGTGGACGACTTGCACAAGGACCTCTTGGCCGAAAAGGACAAACCACTGTACTCGAAGTATAAGCTTGGCATTGTCGAGTATGGTCCCCAAAAGAAGAAACCCAACGAGAAGTCAGCATGATCTCCATTGGCATGGAAAAGTTCGCAGCAGGAAGACCAGAAGCTTACACCAAGTACGCCAATGAGGAAATCGAATCTCGCCTGTACCGAGCCCTTCCTCCAGTGCATTTGCCTGACAGAGGAGACCGAGACTCTTCCTCAGATGAAGCGCCTGTTCTGCCACCTCCACCGGTCATCATCCCAAACCCAGCTCTGAAGTGCAACCGTCTTGGTCAGTTTCGCTACCCACCGGCCAAGCGCCACCGGTGCAAGAGCAAGCCAGACAGACAGTGCTCCTGGCATGAGGCCTGAACTTGAAGATCTAGCCTGCGATGCAAAGATGGCTGCGGCAGAGTTGTGCGAGCACCCAGAAGACGTAGACTGTGCAGCATACGAAGAAGCCGCTGCTTTCATGCATGAGTGAACGTCAGGCCGCGATGTCTTGCCGAAGCATTGTTCCGTATAGTACAGTATGATCCACCAGACCTGCGCCCTGCCTGTGGAAAAAACTGATCGTCATCATACTTTGCCGTCTGCATGGTGGTTGTCTTTATCAGCATCAGTTGCTTAAAGTTCCATGTGTACTTATGTTGGCATACCTGCTTTGTAATTTTTCACCTTGTCTCTATAGTTTGTTGCTCCAAAGCTGAAAGAGATGTTGGTTTCTGCTGTCTTCCTTCATGGCGCGCAAGTTCAATCCATTCCCGGACCCCAAGCGTGGCAAAGGCAGGTCGGTCTTGAAACGACCAGCTGCTGTGAAGCCAGCATCATGGAAGAAGGTCAAATACACCAGAGACACTGCTGGTGTCGGGCCAACTAGCCTACGACCGTATCAAGTGGAAAAGAACCATCCATGAGTTGCTGGGAGCTTTAGACCACAAGATCGTCAACTTGCTCTTGCAGGACAACTTGCTCTGTGCGTGGGAGGGCAAAGTCTGCCCTCGCTGCGGCAAGGGTTCGCTGTCCAAGCTTCAAAAGAGCAGTGGCCACTTGCCTAAGTACCGTTGCAATGCGAAAGCTTGCCATGTGTACTTGAACCCTCATCACCTCCATCCACTCTTCGTGGACGGCAGAGGCTCCGGCTCAACATCCTTGCAATTGCAAGCTGCGCTTCTGCTGCTCTTGCTGAATCGCGTACCGCATCCTGTGATTCACGGATTGCTGGGTGTGAACCACAAAGCAATCGAGGACATGGACAAGCGGCTACGGGATCCACGCATGAAGTGGGTGCAGGAACAAGAGAAACATGTCAATTTTGGAAATGGAAAGAAATGGTGCGATGTGGAAGCTGACGAGACGACATTCCACAAGCAAAACCTCGGAAACCATGCTTCGGAGCCAGAGACGCCAGTAATTTGGGAGCAATGGTGTGGGATAGTGAAAAGAGGTTGCCGGCAGAGCTTAGTCCTGCACCGCCTGAACCCAAAGATGTCTGAGGCTCGAGCGCCGGGGCCAGGCGCCATTCGCAAAGTCGAATGGGTACCTTTGGCGAAAACATGGTTGCAGGATAAGCAGGTGATCCTGCACACTGATGCAGCCAAAAGCTACAAGTGCAAGGTGCCGGGGGTCATTGATGACAATGTTATCCATGCCAAAAAGCGGGGGAAGAAGAACGGCAAGTGGCAATGGCGCGCCCCAAACTACGTACTGGCATAAGAATGCTGATCTTTGGGTCGCCACCGGCACACTTTGTTCCTGGGAAATGGCAAAGTTTGTGTCGAAGCGCTCTGTCAAGAAGTGATGCTTGCCCCCTGGGGAAAATGAGCTGCTTGTCCACTCATTCTGCATCCGCACTTCGTAGAACACAATGATGTCTTCCACTTCTGCACCTGTACATGGCAGCAAACTACTTTATTCACACCACGCATGCAAGCGTAAATCAATGAATGTCTGTTCACAACAACCACGTCTCGGCATATTCAAATGCATTCCAACACTCCACTTCAACAAACCAAGTGACATCTACTGGCATGTTCATATGCATTCCACCGCTCCACTTCAACAAACCAACTGACATCCGCTGGCATGTTCACATGCATTCCAACGATCCACTTCCACAAACCAAGTGACATCTGGTGGCATCTTCATATGCATTCCAACGATCCACTTCCACAAACCAAGTGACATCTGCTGGCGAGGGTGTTTTTTTTTGGGGGGGTGGGTAGCATATATATATATATATACATATGTACGTACCTAATGTATGTATGTATGTATGCATGTATGTATGTATGTATGTTTGTATGTATGGTAATATAATGTAATGTAATGCAATGTAATGTAATGTAATGTAACGTAATGTAATGTAATGTATGTATGTATGTACGTATCACTGTTATATCACCTTGCACTTGGTTGTGGTAAACCCAATAATATACTCATCTTTTTTAGGTTTGCAAGGACTTCCCCATTTTTGTTCAGATTGGGTATGGTTTGTGGCTTAGGTTAGATGCCCTCTTGGAATCTAATGAAAGAATTGGGATTTCCTTCGCGTTACAGGAGGGTGTAGCGTTTACAGCCCTAGCCCTGTCAACTACGCTCTTCACATCACCGATAATCACCGTGGCACATGATCGAACCATATCGAACCAAGGAGTTTGTTGCGAAGAACTTTGCTGTCTCCGAGAGTGCTCGGCATCTCAGGGATCAAACGGGGGGAGTGGGGCATGGCGACCTATCTGATGGCTTACACAGATAAGTCATTGACCCGGCAATGCCAATCGTGAGGGATCATCCGAGTTTTTGGGCAAATAGTTTTGAGGCATGGCCATTTAGCCACCCCAAATTAAGAGTCTTTGGCAATGACTGACCAACTCCAAAGGGAAACCAAGTAGTTTCGGACCACGCGGGTGTTGCGACCCGCGGTGGCCGTGGATTTGGGTTCTCGATCATGCCTGACCCACAGGCCACGTTCCATCAAAGGAACCATCTTAAAACATCTTGACATTTCTACTGCTAGTTGGATGGTCAATCTTTACAGTGAGTTGGTTGGGAACTGAGTTTATAACAACTCATTAATTTGTGATCATACGTGTCGGATCATCCCAATACCAGTGAATTCAGCTGGATCATCCCACTCTGACACCACTCTCCTACCAAGTCGGCACGGAATGTATGTAAAACAGATGTTTGAAACTGGCCTTTCCAAGCAGAATTTTATTCATGTGGTAGACCCAATACCAAACTTAAGAGTTGGGGATGGTCAGCACCCATTTATGGTGATATTGGGTTTTGTTATTGGATTTACCACAAAAACGACCATCCCAGCACTTCCGCATCTTCCGCTTCTAAGCTCCGCAGATTGGCACCGTCAAGCTGCGAGTGAAGCGAAAAGGAGACCTGACCTCCGAAGTGAAGGCCCTTCCGCCGTGTCTCGAGCCATGGCGGGATACACGGATACACCATGGCCATGGCTTGACATATTTTCAGCTGCAAACCGCGAGGGAGTTCTGGAAGATGGAAGAAGATGGTACATCTGGGATTTTTTTGGGGACTTAGATTCACGTCCATGGCCATGGATTCTGTGACCGTTTTCAAACTTCCTCATGAAACTTCCACCGGTTGAACTATCAAATGAACTCTCACAAAACAGCAGATATGAGCCATCAAACATGGGGATGTGACGAACAAATATCACGTTCTCCAGGGTCGTTCTAGATTTTATTAATCGACATAATACATGATTTGTTTCTCCAAACTTCGGGTGTTGGGTTGAAATTCCAACATTATTAAATATATATATATAATGAGATCATACAAATCCCCATGTCAGTTGGTATCAGTTGGTTGTATGAATAATAAATCACTCTCTTCTGCAGGGCAAACCGGCATTTTTGATGCACCATTGTTGGGTTTCTTTGGGAGTTCGTCGGAGTTCGTCCGGACTCGTGAAGAGGTGCAATATGAAAGCGAAGACGGCATCGCGGGCTTCCCCAGTCGCGGGAGTGCTGTTGGAATCGAAATCTCAGACTCAAGTGGGTTTCGAAGTGGGTTTGGTCACTTCCCGCTCGAAACAAGGCCAAAGCAGGGATGGACTACCACGAGGCTCAGGGAACTGGGGTCCGAGCTTGTACAGCAAAGATGTGTGTTTGATCGACACATGGCATGTGAAAGAAGTGGCTCTAGACCGCAGACCGAGTCAAACACCACTTTGCTTCGCAAGCAGGTTTACTCACACTTCGCAGATGAATCGCAGATGAATCGGGCTCAAGGAAATTCAAGGAACACCAAAACCTGTTATCAAAGAGCCTCACATTTGGGCGCGGTGTGGCAAAGGTTTCACCGCGAAGCTGCTGCCGGGACGCCGTTGTGCATCCGCCAGGAATTTCATGTCGGGCAGACCTTGGAAGGGCTCAAGCGCTCTGTCAATGGGGTGAGACCGGTGCATTTTGACGAACACCACAAATGGGGGATATACTGCAGTATTTTCAACTCTGAATCGCCTTCTGTAGTTTGCAAAGATATTTTCCAGTTGCTTGTTGAGGTCAACATCTCAATCTGAACTTGTGCACTGTAGGGAGACAGTCCATGGGGTTCTGGGCATTTTCATCGTCAAAACTGGAACCTGAGTCTTTGCACGACTCGATTCGCGCAGATTCCCGTCAAAACTGGGGTTGATATACCTAATACGAAAGGGGATGGTCACCCCCCCTCACTGAAATAGGGCTTTGTTACAACTCATGTTTCACCAAACTGGGTCCCTCAAAAATGCTTGGAGTCACTGGGACAAGGATTGAACGACCAGCTTCCCCGGCGGTGCCGTTGAGGTTGATCGTTGAGGAGCGGCGCACCCAAGGATGCGAAGTGCCGAAGGAGATATTGACGATCAATGGCATGGATGGCCTAACATTTGAGATGGAGGTGGCTACAGGTCCAACACCATGACCCCCTGCACGTGGGTAGGGAAAACTTTCATTCTAAATGGAGTTAAATGGGTAAAACTCCGTCTTGAATTTGCGGAACCACATTTCAGCTCCAGGTAGATGAACGATCGACGGTGCCAGATGTCATAAAGCAGATTTCAGAGAAGATTGACATGAAACCAGAGAAAATTGTACGTGCCAAGATGTTCAAGAGATTTCAATCACTAAATTTAGATAAATTTTGGCTGATGCTGAAATACAGGGCTAGATACTTACTAGATATATCAACAGGCTGAAGCTGGAGTGGAACCACTCCACGGTTGACTGCAATCCTACCACGGCCAGTTCGTACATTCCCATTTTGGTTTCTGTTGAATTTATGGTCAAATCAGGTTACACCCCCTAAATTTGCAACATCAGCCCCCAAAATGAACACATCCAACAGGAACATCGTCTGAACATCACCTTTTTTTCCACATTTTTGGGGTTTCTTTGTCAGTTTCTGCGATGTATCTTTGGTCATCTTTGGTCTTTGGGTGGTTCAATGGGCAGGGCTTCGGCACAGACGCCTCCGGAAACAGGTCGCATCACACTCACTTCTGGTGACGCCGTCGTGCCGGACTCGGGGCCCTTGCTGCCGCAGGCTTTTGGGAAGCAACTGGCCTTGGTCTGCAGCTGAACATCACTGTGAGATAGTGCTAAAATTTCCCTCGATTTCGGTGATATTGACGGGGATTGACTGCTGTTACAATAGTTTTGAAGGGGATACCAGGCCGCAAAGAGCTTTTGGAATCGCGACAGCATGGGCCCGACCTGAACGCCATCGATTCAGTTGGTTCGTTGACCTTTGCAAATTCGATGAGAGCTTGGTAGATGTTCGCCTGCCGCGCAACCTACAGACGTTGGTCTTTGGAGAGAATTTTAACCAGAGTTTGGAAGGTGTCGAACTACAAGGCAGCCTTCAGACCTTGAAATTTGGTGAGAGGTTCAACCAGAGTTTAGCTTGGGTAAGCCTCCCCAGCAATCTGCATGCTTTGATCTTTGACAATGATTTCAACCAGAGTTTGGAAGGTGTTACACTGCCAAACATGCTGCAGACACTGGTTTTGGGTAAAAAGTTCAACCAAAGCCTGGAAGCTGTCATGCTGCCAAACAGCCTACAGTCGTTGACCTTTGGAGAAAAAATCAACAAAGATGTAGCCGGCATGATCTTCCCAAGCAGCCTTCAAACTCTGGTTTTTGGTCATGACTTCCAAAAGAGTGTGGAAGGAACCACGTTGCCAAGCAACCTGCAGTCTTTGAAGTTTGACCGTCGATTCGACATAAGCTTGGTGGGCGTTGCTTTACCCAGCTGCCTGCAAACTTTGGTTTTTGGCTTTCATTTCAACAAAGGTTTCGAAGGTGTTGAACTACCAAGCAGCTTGCAGACACTGGCCTTTGGCTATAGTTTCAATCAGAGCTTGGATGCTGTGCAGTTGCCCAGCAGTCTGCTGCATTTGACCTTCGGCACTGAATTCACGCAGAACTTGGCAAACATGACATTGCCAAGCAACCTCTAGACCTTGACGCTGGCAGACAATTTCAACCAAAACTTGGAAGGCATCAGCCTGCCAAGCAGCGTGGCAGTTCATATCGCCTTTGACCTTTGACCCATTTTTTGACAATCGCACCTTCCCATCCACAGTGGAGAGCATAACCTTTGGTGAGGCCTTCAACCGAACCTTGGCTGGTGTCGCGCTTTCCGGCGCAAGCTTCAATTAGAGTTTGGAGGATGTCACACTACCAAGCAGCCTGAAGACCTTGGTCTTTGATTCGAAGTTCAACCAGAGCTTGGCCGCTGTAAGCCTTCCTGAAAGTCTGGAGACTTTGACCTTCAGCTTTGACTTCCGTCAAAGTTTGGAAGGTGTCACGCTGCCAAGTGGCCTTTTGTCTCTAACCTTTGGCCCGCAGTTTAACCAAAGCTTGACAGACGTGGCCCTGCCAAGTGGCCTGCAGACTTTGAAGTTTGGGGACAATTTCAACCAGTAACCAGTCGCTGGAAGGTTGGAACCCGTGATTTTTTCTGGGGATACGGATCCGTAAACCATCATTTTGGAATCTTTCAATGGGGAAGATTGTAAACCATGTGGTTTTGGAGTTCGCAATTTTGAGATAAAGCCACATTAAGAATCAGCTGGCGCATTTTGAGGGTTTCAAATGGATTACATACAGACATTCAGACATCCAGACATCCAGAAATCAGTTGATCGAGTGGTTTGGTCCGTTCAAGTGCCACATTTTGAAAGTCTCAAGCCTTGGAGGTGTCAGACTGACAGCCTTCAGACCTTGAACTTGGGCCATGCCACCAGCAGACTTTGGCTTTTGGTTGGAATTTCAACCAAAGTTTGGTAGGTGTCATGCTGCCCAGTCTGAAGACTCTGACCTTCGGGGGTGGCTTCCAACAAGGCTTAGAAGGAGTCACAATGCCAAGTAGCCTTGAAGATTTGACCTTGGCCCAACTTGAAGTTGGAAGATGTCTCACTTCCGGCTTTGCGGAGATATTGTGGCTATGGGCTCAACGTTGAGTCCCTGTAAAAGTTTTTTTTTCCATCCACCTCCAGAAATCTATGCGCATTGCGAAAAGAAACAGGGTAGATGATAGATTCATAGATGGTTCACTTCATTGGTGTTTCATTCCTTGGTGTTTGCAAACCTTCTTTTTTCAACCGCTAAACGAAACGAATGGCTGTTTTCCCGTTTTCCGCGTCGACAGGTGAAGGGCGAGTTGGTGTTTTTACCTCAAGAAGACATGAAAGAGATTGAGGCGGGCACCGTGAGGACCATGATGAGATGTCTGCGAGATGGTCCGAGACCAGAAAGATTCAGAACTTGTATGGTAAACATGTGGGGGGGAGAGGGGACAGCGGGGAATAGCACGGAGGACAGGATGTGTATACATTCTTACGACTATATTTATCTCCATTCTATGTCTTTTCACGTATATCATATATCTATTTATTTGTATCTATGGAGGTTTCCTAAAATGGAGGTACCCCCAAATCATCCAAAATTGGACTATTTTTAGGAACACCGATGTATATTAATATATATATACACACACATGTGATTTATTTTCACCTTCCTTTTTGCGCGACAATTTGTCCCGGTTGTGGCAGGTGCCCATTATTGATGATTCCACCTGGGAGGCACCACTTTTTTCGGAGACAGGGAGCTCATCAGCAGGGGAAATAAGCAATATGATTGGGTAAAATTTTGATAGACACTTTTGATGCATTGAAAATGATAGGCCTAGGCAGTTTTGACAGGCACTTTTGCTGATTGGATATAACCAATATGATTGGGCACTTTTGTTCCATTGATTTCTCTTGATGGAACATGGAACATGGAGGAAGATTGAAGCCCAGAACCCGGTAGGAGATCAACTGCATTTATCTCATCTCTGATGAATCCTCGTTTTTCTTTTGCATGGTCAGTGACAGCTAAGTTATTTGATAATGTCTTGAAGTCCTGCTAGGTTCGCTCGGGTCTCAGGCAAACAAATTGCTTTGAACAGCTGCAGGTATCCTAGATGCGACTTCCTGATATCACTATCACTATCCTTTGCCAGATTTTTTCCGAGCAGGAGTCTGTCTGTTTTCTGCACTGGGATGATCTTGTCAGGAAGATGAGGAATTCTACGTCCACCTCACTTCAATCGCTGCTTGGCATGGAAGACTTGTGACTTGTGAGAGGACCGCCTCCAGCATCAGCTTGTGTTACTTGGAATTCTGCCGATACCATAGAGACAGAGGAACCCAAACATGGATATTCTATGCGGGAAAATACATTTTTCCCGAATGCGTAGCAAGGGTTCCCGCTTCACTCTGGGGGTCTGGGGGTTGAGGGTGTGTTTGCCCGACGTTGCGCAACCGTTCGCAACCGTTCGCAACCGTTCGCAAGTGTCCCTGTGAGGTCCGTATGGCCGTGCCTATGGCGAGTTCTGCAAAAGTGGTCACTTTTGTCGGTTTCAGGCGTCGTCTAGCCTCGTTTCACGTGGCAGGCGTGGCACTTGGTGACATTTCAACATGTTTCATAGCGTGTCAAAATTCGTCTTGTGTGGCAGGCATACTTTGGCAACGTTTTCAGAAGATGCGTTGCATTTTTCGTGGCAGGCGCAGCACTTTGGTGACCTCCATCGTCATGTCGCGTGGCAGGCGCAGCACTTTAGACGTGTCATGTTGCGTGTTTTTGCGAATCGCATTGTCAGGGCCGCGTCAAGTGGCGACAAGGTGCAAATTGCGTGGCAGGCGTGTCATTTTGTGAGGTGTCATGAAAATTGAAGCCTCGCACGAAACATCGCTTTTGAGGCACCTGAGTTTAGGGTTCGTTAGGAAAATTCGTAGGAAAACGTCGATCATGAAAAGCTACAAAGTGTGAATATTGGAGGAAGTCTCGCAGGAAATGCTCGTTTTGATGCTCCAACATCCAACATGTCTCGTCTCGATTCTCTGACTTTTTCTAGGGTCGCCGTGTCTATGGGGGAAGCTGCAAAACTTCTCCTTTTCGAAGGTATTAAAGGTGGTTGTTCGTTTTGCATGGCAGGCATGGCGCTTCCTGACATTCTCACGTGTCTGCAAATAAGCCGAAAATCGTTTTGTGTGACAGGCGCAATACTTTTGCAAGATCTTCAGCACATGAGTTGCATTTTTCGTAGCAGGCGCAGCACTTTGGAGACCTCCATCGTCATTTTGCGTGGCAGGCGCAGCACTTCAGACGTGTCACGTTGCGTGCTCTATCTACACTCTACACTCCACACTCCAGGCTCTACACTCCACACTCCACACCTTACACTTTACACTCCACACTTTACATTCCACACTTTACACTTTACACTCCACAATCCACACTTTACACTCCAGACTCTACACTCCACACTCCACACTTCACACTCCACACCCTGCACTTTACACTCCATACTCCGCACTTTACACTCCACACTTCGCACTCCGTACTTTACACTTTACACTCCACACTCCACCTTTTCACTTTACACTTTACACGCCACACTTCGCACTCCATACTTTACACTTTATACTCCACATTCCTTTACACTTTACACTCCACACTCTTCACACTACACTGTACACTCCACACTTTACACTCCACACTCCACACTTTACACTCCACAGTTTACACTCACACTTTACACTTTACACTCTATACTTTACACTCCACACTCCACACTCTACACTCCACACTCCGCACTCTAGACTTTACGCTTCACACTTTACACTCCACACTCCACACTTCAAACTCCACACTCTACACTCACTCTACACTTTACACTACACTTTACACTCCACACTTTCCACTTCACACTCCATACTTTACACTCCACACTTTATACTCCACACTTTGCACCCCACACTCCACAATCCACACTTTACACTCCAGACTCCAGACTCTACACTCCACACTGCACACTCCACACTCCACACCCTACACTTTACACTCCATACTCCACACTTTACACTCCACACTTCGCACTCTGTACTTTACACTTTACACTCCACACTCCACCTTTTCACTTTACACTTTACACGCCACACTCCACACTTTACACTCTAGACTCTACACTCCAACACTCTGCAATCCACACTCTACACTCCACACTTTACACTCCACACTTTACACTCCACACTTTACACATTACTTTACACCTTACATTTACATCCCACACTTTACACTCCACATTGTACACTCTATACTTTACACTCCACACTCTACACTCCACACTTTACACTCCACACCCCACACTTTGCACTCCAACTTCTTCCGCATTCCACAGTCTACAGTGCACTGGTACGGTAACAGGGGAAACATGTACAAAACTGTTCAGATAACTTGATAACAATTTGTTTCACAAAAGTGTTCTACGTGACTGCATTCGGGTTCGTGGGCTGCATCTTGTTTTTGTTTTTGAATCACATATCTGGGTTCCATGATTTGTGCCATGATCCATCAGCAGGTCCCATCTTTGAAGCTGCTCTGAAATCCCGCCACGGTCTGTTGGTGGTTTGGCGATACCAGCAGCAACTGTCCACTTGTGAAACTTACAGAAGAAGAGATCGGAAAAAACATGCCGTTTGTTGCAGTACTCAGATTCGTCACCGGTTAGATGAATCAACCGCAACGGAAATCATGATTCCGATTGGCATCGATTGACGCCCCCTCGTTTGAAGATCCTGCTTCTGCCCAGAATCTTTTTGTGAGTTACAGTTTTGCCCCCCCAGTAGAGTGTCAAGTCCTTGGGTATCAACAGATGGATTTGTCTTCAAACTTGAAATGACCAATCTTTTCACCCTGAAACCCATTTATTCATGAAAACACTTGCTTCGTTATTGGTCTTTATCCCAATTGTGTCCACGGTTTTGAGCGTCTGAAAATCACTATCTCCCAAGTTTTCTCAGATTTTGTGGACTCCAAATCCCAATTGAACCCCTCGAGCGCTGGAAGATCTACCTGGCACCTGAGGTCACGGTAAAGGGTCAGGTGAGTGGCCTGGGCCGTGCCTCCAAAGCCAGGACAGTTCACTCCCTATTTCTGGCTGGATCAGTGGATTGGGGATCACTTGACCTTTTTTTAGTTTCATGGCACCATGGCACCATGGCACCATGGCACCATGGCACCCCAATTTTTCCCCGATGTTAAGCGTTCGCTTGCTGAAGGCTATCAGTTTTGGAAGACTTGACACGGTCTGACATGCCAGCAATTCAATCAACTCCTACTTCCCTCCACTTCTTGACACTTATGACCTCATGAAAAAAGGGATGTTCTCAAAATGTAATTTTGACCCTCATAATATAGTTTTCCTCCAGACAACAGCGGCAGCAACAACGATCCAAGACATGGTTGCTACGCTGGGATTCCAGCACAGTTTCTAACCCAGGATGCGTGAGAAAGAAGCACGCAAACGGTTTGGCACCTTTATTCAAAAGTCTGGAATCTCTCCGTTTTGGTTGGTTTCAATCTGATTTTTCGTTAGAATCACACAGTCTTGATGGGCAAGACTAGTTGGACAGCCATGAAGATCTCCAGCCATGTCAACCGTGCAGGATTGTCATCATTGACGATGACTGCCCAGGGGTCCTTTCCTTTGAAAAGGCACACTTTGGCGGTAAGTGGATCAAGTGGAACAGGATTTAGAAACTCAAGCCAGTGTTTCTATCCAAAACACCCGACTGCTAGAAGGGTAGGTATGGTAGGTGAAAATGGGATGATTTTTGAGCGGTGATTCTCTGAAATGCTACGTAGATGGGAGGTGAGGTGATTGTCAACTGATTCGTAAGTGGTTTGTGGCACGGTGTATACAAGGCTTGATTACATACAACTCGCTCACCAAGCACTTACGAAATTCCAGCGTCATCCAAGTAGAGCTGTTTGCAGATGCAAATTTTGGAAAAGTAGTGCTTGTGAGACCATGCGACCACGGCAGACATAATCATGCCAGATTTGTTCTATTTCACCAGGATTTTCTTGTCTTGGCTATCCAAGAATATTGGAGTGCTTGGATATGCATCCAACTTTTCTAAACGGAGATGAGCCACGATGAAAGTAAGTCCCTCCGGTGATTTCATCATGACAACCTCGCCAGGATGTGATTGAAGTGCAGGAAACTTCCAAAGATCAAGTAATCCAGGCCTTGCTCAGTGGACGTCCACGTGAGTTTGCCAAAATGAGGTATACGGTATACCGTTATACCCCGTTAGATCCATTGATTCATCATGATTTTTTTCAGACTTTTCCATACTTTTGCATCGTTTTCCACATTTTTCCCATTGAATTTGCCGTAAATGAAGATATCTTCGGGCAACTTCGACCAACTTCCGCGGCCCATTTTCCATGTCGCAAGACGACGTGACGAGGTGCTGGTCAATCGAAAAGGCGGCTCCAGTGGATCTGTGGCTTGGATGGCTTGGATGGCTTGGATGGCTTGGATGGATCTAAAGATTTGAAGATTATAAGATAATATAAGATATCTATATAAGATTATATAAGTAATTGACCATAATAAAGATTATAGTTGGTCAATCTTAGTGGTTGATATTAATAATAATCTATCAATGGTTGGATTATTAATGGGAGGATTATTAATGTCATATTACTATAGTTGGTTGATATTGATATTAAAAATCCAATCCCCCATGAAATGAAACAACACCATTCTATGGTCCCAATTATGTGGAAATTCCCTACTGAGGCATGTTTTGTTTTTGGGGGTGTTTAATACTAGGGGGGATGGGTTTATTTTATGATATGAATATTGACCAACTATAGTAATATGACCAACTATTCAGATTGACCGACTATTATATTGACAGTTATATCAATGATGTAACTATAGTTGTTCAATGTAATTGATACCATGATGTAACTGTTCTATAATGTCTATATTGACCAACTATAGTTAGATCATTATATCAAGACAAATTAGTAATATGATATCCAGTAGGTCAAGATAGCTATAACTATAGTACATATACTTACTTTCCTTTTGTTGATAAGTCAATATGAATCAGTTCCCCATTTTTTTTGGCACCTTCACCTATAGTTAGCCCCTGATTTTGACGCAAGTCTCGATAGCTGTTTAACATGATCTCACATGTTTTGCGAAATCTATCAGGCCGGTCGGAAGGAGTGATGCTTTGAACCTCTTTTGACTTGATATCGTACATATGGGGGTAAACACCGATGGGTGAATAGCTTCCAGTTGTGGCTCATCGTGGCTGGCTTTTCATCTGAGGTATGCTGGCCGATGTCCCAAGTTCCCACTGGTTGATGAAATCATGAAAAACCACAGGACATAGGCGGAAACAGGATATCCATCGTTCACAAGCCACCGGTAAAGGGTACCATTTTGCGACCCCTGGGTACTGCCGGTGCAGAAAGTCTTGTTAAGCCATTCTTCAGCACGATAAAAGATGCTTTTTTGATGTAAATACAATAGTCATTTAAAACATTTAATAGTAGTAGATGATAAATGACCGTTTATATCATATTTTATATCATATTATATCCCTTATTTATATCATTTTATATCTACATCCCAAATCTACATCCCAAACATAGGTATGGGATACTTTGCTCCAGATCCCTCCAGGTCAGCTGCAAGTTCCAGACTGAAGCAGCAAGCGCCACCCAGGGCGCGGATTACGTCCATACCGAGGTACCTCGGCCGGAGAGAACTCGCCGGTAAAAACGTCACCCGTTTTATGTGACTTCTCCAAGATAGGGAAACTGATGTGCTAATTGGGTTTTTTCATGAAGATTTGGTTTTAGACTATGCCAAAAAAAGCCTGATGGGATTCACCTCCCCTAAGAATCGGATACTACTGGAATGGTACAAAATTCGAGTAGGGAGATAATGGGGTAAACCCAATAATTGAAATCATCTACACCCAACTTTCGGTGGTTTCACGATCCCCTTTAAGTGCGGTCAGTATGTTTCGAGTTGGTGGGACACCATTCTGGACCCAGGCTGGTGGCTTATGATGGCTTCTCTGAAATCCCCGGGGTTGTGATGTGGGTCAGGGATAGGTGGAGAGCTATGATACCAAATGATACCGGGGTAACCAGGGCTTGATCTATGGCCATGGCGCTTTTATTAGAAAGATCATGGATGATAGCTAAGGACTTCTTACAATTCATCATGAATCTAGACCAAACTCCTGTGCAAGGCAACCCTGCACAAACTGGTGGAAAAAGGTCAACACTTAAAACAGTGTATCCAATTCATGAAACAACAACACATGTCAAGTCAAGAAGATTGAAAGCTGAATCGACATCGTATTCCTTCTAAGGATTTTCATAAATCACAGGTTCAGCAATTATTGTTTCGACAAATTAAACTCATATTGTTTCCATAAATTTGGCCTTTGGCCCTGGTTGTGAACCACCCCTCTCCATTGCTAGATAGATACATCCTCATCTTTGGTTGATTAGATTATATCGCAAATTCATCGTTTTGGAGTTGTTGAAACCCTTGTTTGCCTCATTGAATCCCATGTTTGTTGTTAATTCCAGCTTTTTGTTTGGTTTTATCCCTATCTTGGTTGCTGATCTCCGCAATCAATTGATCCAGCTACACACCAAAGCGACCCGGATTCTCGCAGGGAACGCTGACCTTTGAAGAGGGCGTGACGAGCCAAGAGATCGCGGTGACGATCATTTCGAAGGGCCGCGTCTATGGGAAGGACGACGTGATGTGCTGATGGGATGGATGGTTGGGAAAATATCCCAAAATGGTAACTATCCGGTGGTGAATGGAAGTAGTTGTTGCCGTTGTGGCTGTTGTGGCTGTTGTTGCTGTTGTTGCTGTTGTTGCTGTTGTTGCTGTTGTGGCTGTTGCTGTTGTTGTTGCCGTTGCCGTTGCCGTTCCGTTGCCGTTGCCGTTGCCGTTGTGGCTGTTGCTGCTGTTGTTGCCGTTGCCGTTCCGTTGCCGTTGCCGTTGCCGTTGTGGCTGTTGCTGTTGCTGTTGTTGTTGCCGTTGCCGTTGCTGTTGCGTTGCCGTTGTGGCTGTTGCTGTTGCTGTTGCTGTTGTTGTTGCCGTTGCCGTTCCGTTGCCGTTGCCGTTGCCGTTGTGGCCGTTGCTGTTGTTGTTGCCGTTGCCGTTGCCGTTGTGGCTGTTGCTGTTGCTGTTGCTGTTGTTGTTGCCGTTGCCGTTGCCGTTGCCGTTCCGTTGCCGTTGCCGTTGCCGTTGCCGTTGTGGCTGTTGCTGTTGCTGTTGCTGTTGCTGTTGCTGTTGCTGCTGCTGTTGCTGTTGCTGTTGCTGTTGTTGTTGTTGTGGTTGTGTTTTTTTTGGTTGTTGTGGTTGTTGTGGTTGTCGTTGTCGCCATCGCCGTATCCACATTCCCCTAGACAAATGGGTAGCTGAGGAGCTATAAATTGAGTCTCCCAACACCGTGATAAACTTTGGATGGTACAATATGGTGCCTCAGACTATGGGCTAAGTTAGTTGACATAACCAAGGTATCCGCGGAGTTTATGGTGGATTTATGTGGGTTAGTTGACATACCCAGGTGTATCCCCATACTGTAGTTTGCCAAGTGTTGGGCCACAACTTTGCCAGTGTGAATTCATGGGTACCTTCAATGCCACCGAGACGGAAACATTGCCCCTCTCTGGGATTCGGCCCAAAAACATGTGGATGTAAAGACTCTAAGTCCCTTTTGCTTCTTTTCGCCTCGGGTCTCATTTTGGGCAGTTTTGGGCCCTGTTACTGGCCACCGGTCCTGGCCGGTATGTAGGGGACCACCCGCATGGAGGAATCAACAGTATTTGACCTCTTTTGAATGATGTATTTTGATGTAAAAACCAAAATACCAGGGTCAGCAACTCCATGCATGCCCTTAGAGTGGAAATTGCAGATCGCAAATAGCCGCAGATAGTTTTAAAGATGTTATCTCGCCTTTTCTTTCCAGAAATTAAACAGCTACACTCCAGTAGTCAAATGTGGCAATGGACAATCAACCATTTATAGACAATCTTCCATTAAACACCTGAATTTACCGGGGATTTCCCACCCAGCCACGTTTGATGACACCGTTTCGGGTATAATCTGGGTTTCGCTGAGAATCCCAGAGCCACGTTTTTTCAGGAGGAATTTCGCTTGATTATGAGCGAGGCGCAAAATGGCCTCTCCTTCGACCCAGAGCGAGATGGTGTCTTCGCACTACGAGCGACCGCTGTTTTGTCTTTTTTATGGGGGATTTACACATGCTTTAGCTATATTTTTTGTGGCAAATGAGGATGGTTTGGAGTTTTCCAGATTTTGGGTTCCCATGGGTCTATTTTCAGACAAAGCCTTCAACGAATGGCCCCGGGCATCCATCATTGATCCTACCTTTACTTGTAGGGATGATTCCAGTAGTAGTCACTAGGGTTCAAGGTGATGAGTCGTTGGTGATCCCAAGTGATTCTGGGGAGACATCCCCGTGTTTTCTGCTTCAATCTCAAATGACAGGGCACATTTGTGACCAAGAAATGTCACTCCTTCAATCATTGATTCGTCAGGGAACCAGCCAACAAAGCCACCTCACATTTCAGGTTGATGAATTCTGATGACTTCTCGTAAAAAAACATCCTTGGGCTCCACCCAACAAATAGCACGTGGATGAGCGGCTCATGGTGGTCAACGGATTTGTCCAAATATGGTTGATCGGATCTCGAAATGTCATACTCATACTTGAGGGTGCAGTTCCGCTTAATCCATGTGCACATTGCCAGAATTCAAGGAGGTGTATCCCATCTTGATGGGGTTGGTCGGTTATTTATTTATATCTTTCAATAATATATATATATGATATAATATAATACATATATGTATATGTATATTCATGCATGTAGCCTGTTACCACCACAACCGCACCCCCCAAAATGGAGATGCTTGCCATGGACCCGCCCATATCCTGGGAGTCAATGCGCAATCATCAATTTTTCCAATTCAGCAAGTTTGGATGAATCCAATTTTTGGGGATCAACCCATGGGGTTTCCATCGCCTTGGGACAGTTGGATGGCCAAGTGCCCAGGTGGACCCGACCAAAGCATCGCCACCATCGTGATTTTACCTGACGAGGTGCCGTGGAGGGCGAGTCGCGTTTGGTTTTTCAAAAAGCGAGGCTATGTGATAGGTAATACCACAAAGAACATGACTTGACTTAATTCATACCCTCCAGCAAACTAGCATAGCTATCGAAAATGACCTATTTATAGATTATTATCTACTAATGACTAAAGATGGTGATGTCGATAGCTATGTTAGATTACCAGAGGGTACTTATGCAGCAGTTATTATCCCTTGAGAGATTTTCATGCTCTCGCAATTTTGGCATGATCTCCTGCTACTGCAAGTCTGTAGGATTTGTGAACTTACTGGCCCCAGCGACATCACGGTACATGACCCATAAAACATGGGAACGGACCCTTCGGACAGTTCAGTGGTTGGTGGCTGCTTCATCATCATATATATATAGATATTACATGATATTACACACATAGATACCTGTATTTATGTACCCATATTAAAAGGGTTAATCACCCAGTTTCTGACCAAACCAAGAGACTAAGTTCCAGTCATGACTTGTGGTCCAGAGGTCACACCCGCTTACACCCGGTTACACCCCCATGTTTGGTTGTTTTACTATGCATGTTTTGTCTGTTTCAATAAGTGGGGAACTTGCAGGTGAAGGGTGAAGTTGTGTTGACCTGCTGCTAAGGTCAGGATAATCACCTTGAATTTTGGAGATCGCATGGTGAAACACATTTAAACACCACAAAGACATGCAAAGACCTATCTTCCCCATTCAACTAGATGTTGAAGTTGCATTTTTTTGGAGGGGTATCCCGATGTCGAGACAATTATCCAGGTGGCCAAGAGCCGTCTCGATCGCGTCGCCAGCCTGCTTAGCTCCTTGGCAGTCGCCAGCGGCCCATTGCCAGCCAAGAGTGTATACTGATTCCCAAAAAGGTCGTAATTCACCAGAAATGATGGTGTAATGGGAATATCACATGATATAATGGTAATATCATGGTAATATCATGCGCACATGATAGTCTATACATGTCTATACATAGTATAATTGCTTGAATAAGAGCAGCGTCTAAGCGTCAAACTTGTACCTGAGGTGGTGACGCTGAGGGACATCCTGGTAAAATGAACTGAGCAGTTTCAAAAGCCCTGGCAATGTTGAGAATGATGCTACACTATGAACCATACATTTCGGATTATAATAGTTCATTATAGGAATCCCATTCATGAGCCATTGTTGTGGGGATTTTACAGTAGGGTTAAAGAACACTCCACTGATTGTTGTAAAATTCTCCAGGCGTTAGGGGAGAGGATCGCTGACTCGGGATCCAAGAAATGGCAATGGATCCATCTTTTCGGAATTGTAAACTTTACGAATGGATCAAGCTCAGAACTTCAGTCCGATGATTCCAGGCCCGACTCAGGAATCAACCGGGACCGTGCCGCCTTGGGAGCTTCAAATTGGAAGGAGCAAGCCGCGTTGGGCAGAACCTATGGAATGGTCATAAGGATGTCATAAGTCATAATCATCCAATTTTATGAAAAAATGCTTTTGGTACTCAAGGACTTGATCCGTACCCAGGCTTCAATGCCTCTGAGTAGACTTGGTAGCGAGATTGGTCCACTTGGTTGATGTTCTTAGCGCGACTTAGCATCCAAATTTGGGGGGTGGTTCTGTGACTTTTCCCTGAAACCAAGTCTGGCAAAGCCATACTGGCAGGGCGCAGTTGGACCCTTGAGGGCCATTTGGGACTCAGACTTTGGCGATCACAACCAGTCGCCCTCAGCAATTTTGGGATACCCAATGCCTTGAGATATGGGGATGGATCAAAACCTATAAACTACATGAAAAACTATGATAGGGCCTTGGGGGATGAACCCGATGACCAGCGGTTTTGGGGTTCAGGGTACCAACGGTTTGACCAGCCATACGCTGCGGTGAGGAGCAACTCTGGAATGCAGTGCTGGTGAACGGCGGCGACGAAGAGGTGCAATTCTAGGGACCCTGGACCAACTGCACAGGTGCCAATGGAAGCAGCAAACATGTGAGGTATTCTTCAGTTGAACATATTCCCAAGGATGCCCGAGGTAGTCTCTTGAGTGTAAATTTTTTGGGCTATCCAAGATCTGTACGAGGTCTGTAGCATGAGGATAGAATCAACCAACCAATGAAGACTTCTGGTGTTGATGCAATCAGCGGCCTCCCAAAAAATCCCAGCAGGGTTTCTCTACCATTGCAGTGACTGGAGTGCAGAGGTTTCGGTGCTGGCTCTAACTGTTCCACATTCGAGGGTTTAAATTATGGCAACACCCTCCGGGAATTAACCTGACTGGAACATCCTCCAATTTCCATGGAAGAAAAGGAATATTTTTCATGGGGACAACGGACAACGGTGCACCTGGGCATTTCACTAAAGATGACATAGGTTATCAGGGGTTTGTCAAAAAATGAGGATACCGCTAAAAGGATTATATATATACTGTGTATATATATATATGTATGTATGTATATATATATATATATAAAAGGCTAATTATTTGAACGGGGAGCACGAGGACCTTTGAACCGCTGGATTTTTTGGGCAGGAGAAGCCTGGTGCTTATGCAGCTTGGCGGGAAACGTCGGGGACCGTTCACGACGCCGGGTTTTGCAGGTTGGACATCTCGCCATTCTGCAACTTGTGGTCACAGCTCTGGGCAAACCCATATTAGCTAAATGGGGATCAGCCTCATCAGCCTTTTTTGCGGGGGAAACTGGGGAGGTTTCCCATCTGCGCGAAATGACGAAGATCCAGCTAATTAGTAGCTTTAGAATCATGACAATCATAGCATATAGCCATGAAATACCTGGTTGAATAGGAATAACACGCCCCATCCATGATCCCAAGAGCTACTAAACCCCCATTGAACAATCAATGAGCGCTGGGCTGTAGTAATCGGTCCCCAAAATGGATGCTGTCAGACTCAAAGAATGACCAGCCATCAAAGTGGGTCCATAAATTAAAAGGTACATAGGTACATCATGGTACATCCACCATTGATAGATGATTTTCCATAGGATTTTCACATTCAAATCTCCATTTATACGTGATTTTCTACATATATTGTATATGAGTTTACTGGAGGGCACCCCAATGACTTCACCCACGCAGTTCTCCAAATTGGGAACCCACAAAACTCACAAAACCATCAAACTGAGTCTGAGTCCTTACATAATGTAAGTGTCCATTTACACATACATACATACACACATACATACATATACATACATATACATACATATACATACATATACATACATATACATACATATACATACATATACATACATATACATACACACATGCATGCATACATACTTGCATGCTTACATACTTACATACTTACATATTTACATACTTACATACTTACCTGCTTACTTACTTACTTACTTGCTTGCTTGCTTACTTACTTACTTACTTTCCTTCCTACCTACCTACCTACCTACCTACCTACGTACATAATTACATACATGCATACATACTTACGTACGTACGTACGGACATACCTACATACCTACCTGCCTGCCTGCCTGCCTACCTACATACATACATACATGCATACATACATACATACATACATACATACCTACATACACACACACACAAAGACGCATTTATATATATATAGCATAATTTGAATATATATATATAGATACATATTCATATAATACATATATGTATATGTATATGTATAGGAATGGGGAATCTCATGGTTTTTGGGGTCTCCAAGTTAGAGAAACACCCCTAAAAGATTCGATGAATCACAATGGTTCGGTCATCTCAGGACTGGGTGATGCATGTGTGGAAACCCAGACGGCAACTGAGCCCGGGGTGCATTTTCCGGGCTTGGAGGCGCCGTCTTGAAATGATGTTTGACTCCATGTTTGACTCCTTGACCCCAAAATCCTGTAACATACCATATTGTTGGCTATGTGCCCATGTTTCACGTCTTAATGCGATTCCTGACTAGTCCAAAGGGGTATAGTGGGCAGCTTTGTTTGTGGGTTCAGAGTGCTGGCTGGCGCTTTGTTCGGGCCAACCAAACTTGAGAGAAACTGGGTACTGCAAGCCTTGGCTGGGTCTGTAGCTAATAATTGTTTTTTCCCCTCTGAGATTATTTCATGCCCAGCAAAAACCACATATTGAAAGCTAGATCTCCAGACGAAAGTAGCATCAAATTAGTTCAGCCTCTCACGTGGTTCTGCTACAAACCATTTGTGGGTCCCTTTTGTACAATAAGACTTCAAAAAAAACCCACACCATTTGTAAATGGGATGAAATGTACGAATGCCCCTCACTGTTTTATCTTGTTTCAATGACAATTTGATATTCTTTTTGTAACCAGATGGCAGCCCCTTAAAACATCGCGACCATGTTGGATCGCCCCTCAAAGCATCCACATGACGCCGGATACAGACCTTGTTTGCCAATACACCGGATGAACCAATAAACCCTTTGAATTGCAATTGGGTATATAATTCTGCTAGAATTCATTGGTAACGCATGTTTAAACCCGAGTGGACATTGTGGCAGAATAAACCGTATAATCATTTGTTCAATTGTTTGGGGGAGGCGGTTATTCAAATATCGCGCTGGATATACCACATTACTGGAATCATCCCAGATTTAGATTGATCAAACTTTGGAACCAAAATTCTGCGCAGTGGGTCGGGGGATACGACGCGTCAACATGCCAAAAAAATGTCTGTCGACATGCCAAAACGACGCCCCGCGATGCCAAAAAGATCCAAAAAGTAGGTTGGAAAGGAAGAATAGCAAAGAGTAAAATAGTCAGTGTTCCCGTCGACATGCCAAAACGACGTGCCGCGATGGAACATTTTTATATTACGTTTCTTTTTTAAGTATTGCCGGGTGATTTTTTGACATGTCCACGCGTGGTATCCAGTGGCTCGGGGAGTTTTGAATGATCCAGTGAGTGATTTGGTTACTTTGGAGGAGGGTCGGGTCTGGAAGGTGCACTCCGCACTTTACTGGTCACAGCGCCAAGAGACTGGTCCAACTTCGGGGACTCCAAGCTGCCAACGCTTAAGGTGGTCGAAATGGATGGGAAGAAAGAAACCCTGTTGCTGCGTCCACTCGGGGATGCGAACCTTTGGAAGGTGGAGAAGCTGGGTTCGGAGGTGGTCGGCTACATGGCGGTCTACGTCGACATGATGATCGCTTCGAAACCTGTGACTGAGGCGGTGGCTAAGATGGTTAGGGGTCTATGGTCCACATCGGAGCCGGAGTATGCCTCAAACGCATCTATGAGATTTCTGGGGATGGATTTGGAAAAGGTAAAGGATGGGTATGTACTCCAGGAGCTACATCCAGGAACTTCTTGGACAGCATGGGGTGGAAAAAGGGTGTCCCTATGTTCGAAATCCGGAGGAGTCGTCTTGGGACCCACCAACACCAAAAAGGGTGAAAGAGGCTCAGGGCCAAAGAATATGGACTGCATGCGCCCTATACGCACAATGTTGCGTTTGAACTACGTATGCTTGACCTGGTGCAGTCCTGCTTTTTGACCGCCCTGGCCCATTTGCCTGCTCCAACCATGGATGGCTGTCTTCCCACATTTTGCGCCCCCAAGGCTGGACGGTTGGGAACGGCCTGTTGGCCGATCGTTTTTTCCCTTATATTGCGCCCATCCAACCTGTGTTTCAGATGCTGAACGCTGAGGTCATCTCCGTGTTCTGGAAAGTGACCTTTGCCCTCATCCCACCGCCGGAGCGCATGCAACCGCAGCCGGGGTGGGGGCACCATCAATGCCCGATGTACATGTAGGCACCCATGGCAAGGTCATGGTCTCGCATGGTCTTCTGATTGGTTGAGTCAAAATCTGCCATGGGAATTTCTGTTTGCTGTTAGTTTATTTTTTCTCATCTCAAAAGCCGCCAGGAAAATGACGTGTCACGCTACGAGAGATGAATTGCACACCAAATCCAAATTACGTGTGATGCATGTTTTGAAGGATGAATATTGCGCGCAGTGATTTCTTCTACCAATTGAAACATTTTCGACCAGGGGCTCCAAGTCACTACATCCATACACACAGCACATACCGTGTTGCGTTTGGGTGTTGTTCAGGGTTCCGAGTTGACTTCTTGACAGCGGGTTCCAAAAAAACCGGGGAATAAATTCTCCTCCGCAAACGTCCATAATCCTAGCTTGGGTTAGCACCCACACAATTCACGTAGTTCATCCTGATGTTTATTGACTGGATGGTATGTTTTGCAGCGAGTGGGACGTTTGTTTTTCGACTTTTTGAGTGTTGGCCACCACGAAATCCAATCCGCTTCGTTCATGGCCGTGTTTTTTTTTGTGACCAAAGATTTGTAACCTCAGAAAACAATGAACATGCAGGGCAAATTCATGGGACATGTGTAGCCTGTTAGTCAAGATGTGCTGCAAGGACTATTGCGGTGGATGGGCGTGCTTCTTTTGTTCGTTAATGATGTGCCTTGCCACAACTTGGGCCACGTGACGGTGGGTGCGCCAAGAAACCCTACTTCCATGCATTCCATGCCAACCATGATTTGTAGCGGAGTTTTAAAATTGCTGATGGAATTGTGTACTTCCCAAGATCTTCCATACTCAGCCAGGTCGTGAGGAACATGTCCATTTTCCCACAGCCGCATATCCAATCTGAGAGTATCATGAAAACAAACGGTTCCAGGAGCTCCCAAAAACCCTATGATATCCTGACCAACCCGGGTGAAAACCAAGTAGAAGATGATGAACACGTTGTTATAGAATCATGTTTTGCGGACAATGTAAACATGCAAACATTTACAGCCCGGCCGTGCCTCAAACAATGGTTGGACAACGAAATTTTCTGAACCTACGGCAGTGTTTTATTCTAATGGTGAGGTTAGACCATGTTTCATGGCCCAACAAGAGTTGCCATGATGGTCGTGACCTTCATTTAAGGACTGGTAGCTGGGTATATACATCCCCAAATATGTTCCAGTTGTAAGGAATTGTGAAACCCCCATTTTCCCGCTGCACTCATCTTGTTTCCGGCATGGGTCATCGTTATAAGCTGGTTCAAAAATTGCCCCCAAAATTGATGGTTTACCCCTGCTGGGTCTATTTGGTACCCCATTTAGAACCAAATCCACTTGATCCTTTTCGCCTCCCTACAATTTGTGTGACATTTGAGGTTCACCATGATAGTCCCCATTTGATCCGTAACCCAGTCCATTTTTTGAGGATTGGCTTAGTGACAGCGCTGGTGGCAGATCTGGCGGGACTATTAGGTTGCGTTGCCGGGAGCCCTCAGCACTCAATGGTGGATTTTGGGGCAGATTTCGCCTCATAATCAGCATCGACAATGGGGAGTTGGACATCAAGAACGTACAAAAAGTCAGGAAAGAATCAACAACAGCATCATTTTACAACATTGTTACACTAGATTCGAGAAATTGCCTTTAATGACTCCTGAAAGGACTGTTGGGATTTCCATGGATTTCCATATTTCTTGGATGGTAGGAGAGGTTGGATTTTTTCAGGGCCACCAGTAGACAGGAATTGTGGTTGGGGAACCCTCCCCAAATCACCCAACAGTTCAGGCAGATAACAACTCGATGGTTCGCACTCAGCACTGCCCGACAAAGCATGTATCGCCATATTGGTTGTTGGGTGCTTCTCCGTGACAATTGAAATTCTGATTCCACAATTAAAATATTTCTGCAATGTGTTGACCAACACCATCCGTTCACAGATAACTATGGATCAGTGCAGTGCAGTTCACCCTTTTTTAGCACCCTGGTAGTTCACGTGTCGTTGTGTTTTTCGCCGGTAAAAAAACATGTTTTGATCCATCCTTCTGCCATAGATGGCCCCCAGCGGATGCACAGTCATCCGATAAACTGATGATGGAAAACAAATAAATTGCCGGACTTGGGGATTGGAAAAAACATGGTTGCTAAATATCTTGGTTTATGATGGTTTATGGTTCTTGAGTTCTTGGACTTACCCCCCCAAAAAACATCAATTTTCTCGGTACGAAGTCCCCATTGTGTATACCACATTCTTTTGGGTGAATCCGAGAATAATTGATATTAATTGGAACAGTGAATACTTATGAAGAAAGACATCATTACTCTGAAATCTAAACAAGTCGATGTTTTTAAGATTCCCCAAGATTCATGCCATTAAAGAAGCCACCCATTTTGCCCAGGTTGGTATGGGTGATGCCATCACGGCCATTACCTTGGTCCGGGAGCCAAAAAAACGGTCTGAACATGGTGATCCCTAAAAAAAGCTTGCGACTTTCATGGAACTTCATTGATTCTAATGGATCTTAATTATTCTGAATTGATTTCTTGGAACCTATGCTGACGAAGCGTGAGATTTTGGGGCTCCGTTTGTTGAAGGCTGGGACCCACCCGCCTCTATGGATCATCTTTATGGGTCCCCAAAAGTCGCGTATTGCGCGCAGGAGAACTCAAGACTGGATAATAAACATGTTAATGTTTGTTAATGTTTGTTAATGTTTGTTGTATACCCTCTGGCAGTGCAATGGACAATCACCCATTTGTGGACAATATTGTTGTGTAAAAATTGGGAATTCTCCAGCTATGTTTGATTGTCAGATGATAATGATAACAGCTGGCACTTTATGCTTTTCATTGCCGTAAGGATGCGGAGTCTTCAAGGATTGGTCCCCAGAATTGGCTCATTTCAGATCAGTTGAATCATTCTAGGGAAATGATTCCGAAAATGTCGACCATGTCTGATAAGTCACACACTCAAGTAATTTTAATTTTGGGCAGTAAAACATTGTCTGGAAGTGCAAGACAATCCCATATCCTGTTGGTTTGCCTAATATTTGCTGTAGAAATCTGTACCACAAATTTGGAGGTGAAATCAGTAAACCCTTCCATTTGTGCTCCAAAATTTCTTTCTTGAGGTGGCTTTGGGGACCTCCCTTCCAGACACCTTTGCCTCCAAAGCTGCAGCTCAACAGGCAGCGGAGTTGGGAAATGGGGGAATTCACTTGCAACATCAGAGATTTGGAGTTTCGAAGAAAATTGCGACTGAACATCGGGCATTTTATCATCCAGACGCTTGAAGGTTCAGCCAAAATGGTTCAACATCGACTGTTGGAATAGTAGGATCGGCTCAACCCATCAGCAAGATTGCGGCTGACCTTGGCCTTTTGCGTGCGACTTTTCGTTTCCTTTATTTGTTCGCCACGGCTGACCTTGGCCTCATCTTTCAAAGACCGGAGTATTACCTGGTTTATTGGGGACTACTGGACTAAGCCATCGGAATCGGATTATAGGTATGCCAGGTATGCCTTTCCATCATTCCCACTGCTTGAAACTGCTGTCCTATTGAAAAAGCTGTCCGGACATGGCCAGGACCCCTATGCTGATGCATCCATCGGGAACATCACGGGAAGTAACTCTGTGAACGTCTTTCTCGGCTTGGGGTTGTCCGGGTACCCAGTGGATCCTGGATCCTGGTGGATGTTACGAAACGGGGCGGGTACCTGTGGAGTACTACCTGGTTTCTTGGGGTTTCACATGGTTTCACGTGAGCAATTCCGGGATACCTGTCAACTTCAGCATATGGATAATGGGACAGGTTTTTTTGGGGGAAAAATGACTCAATTTTCACGCGATCACTGCGAGGCCCTGGTCTATAGGAGCTATCTACTGGGCTGTGTCTCTTGGTGATGGAGCTTTCTGATGAGCTGATGGGGTTTTTCCCCAATGCCATAGTCACCATCCCATGAAACCCAACCATGACTGGGGGGTCATGATGGACATCATCCCATTTCTAGGGGTATTCCTGTCGACCCCAGGACCCATTGGTGTTGTGAGAGCAGCAAAAATAATGGTGGAATAGTCGCCCCAAACCTGTGTCACATGATCAACATCATTTCTAGGCAAAGCGACCGGTCAATGGTTGATTAGAAGACGTTAGTGGTATACAATAGTAAAATTTGATTACCATGTTGATGATGTCTAGTAACCAACCATAATCATGACATAGTCAGAATCATAAACACAAGCACAATCATGATCATATTCATATTCATAGTCATAATCATACGCTAACCATTCACCATACACATCATTCTCATATATCATGATAGCTTTATGTTAAGCTATTGTTGAAGACCAGGGACCGCTGGAACCTTCTTTCTAGGGAAGTTGGCTGTCTGGTTACCCTCCAGAAAACTAACATAGCTATGGAATGCTATAGACAATGGCCCATATCTAGATGAATTAGCTAGTAAAACTTTCGATTTTTCATGGCTCTGTCATTTTTTTGGAGGGTATGGCTAGTTGTAACTCCGTCAAATATTTGGTAAGTGGAAGGGACCCATGATTGAATATGATTGCAGGGACACACCTTACGCCGAGATTTCAATGCAGTCCTAAATAATGTGAACTAAGTACTTCCATCACCGGGGTGAAAAGGTTTCCTAGATGCCATTATAGTGGGCAGTGGATTCCAATATCCGTCATTTGAAACCGCCTCCCTGGGAGAATGAGAACCTTCTCAGCCAGCAATGAGCACTGATAGCGTGGTGAGATCCCACTTTCCCAACTTAGGGTTGGTCAAACAGATGCGTGGCGAGAAAAATATGCCAACGAGGTGGGAACAAGCCCGGGATTCCCGAGTAGGGTGGGTGTGAATCTTTGTCTTAAACTTCAACGTTCGGGGAGGGACAAACACCAATGGTGCTGGGGTTTCCAGCACTATATTATATTCATTTGAGCCATATTTTTGGATTAAGGTCCGATATTGAGTGATCTTATTTTCAAGGGGTTGAAACCGCAACTACCAGCTGGTACTAAGCAACTAAACTTGTTGCTGGTCACCCCAAAAGCGGTGGGACCTGACGGCTTCTGGATGAAGCTCGGCTCCGACGGAGGGTTGAGATTCAGTCGTTTTTGGATCTTTTGGGGTCAAAAGCAATGGAGTTTTTCCACGAATGACCGGCAACTACCAACTACCAGCTATTTTGTTGTGAAAAGAAGGGTAAACGGGAAACCATCTCTTGGGTTTTAGATCCTTTTGACCCACAAAATACATCAAATACTGTAACTACAACCACACTCTTCTTGCTTTGAAGAGTCGAAAGAGGCGCGGATTGACTTCTCCTCTCTAGAGGGTGGCGGTGGCAAATTCATCGTCGTAGGCGGGGACTCCTCGGAGGGATGGAGTTGCCATCAGCATCGTAAAAAGTGATCGGTCTATCTATCCGTATCTATGTATGTATTTACATAATATCTATGCATAAGTATCTGTAGTATGTCTCTCTCTCTCTCTCTATATATTTATGTATATATATATGTATACATATATTTACATGGGCATACACATACACATATATATATACACATCCACATATATACACATATATATATATATACATATACACACATAGAGGTATTTATGTGCATCCAACATTTTGGCTGATACCACCCATTTTGACGATTGATATACTTTCGTTTGTCCGATTTATCCCATTTGGTCCTTAAACGCAAGATTATGAACCAGTTACCATCTGGTAATCAAACATGGCTGACTGGAACACCCCCGTTTGTACACGAGGAACATCATCTCAAACTCATTAGAATAAACAGGTAATTTTTTATTGCCGGATTTGTTGATGGGAGGGTACCATTCCTCAATTGATTGATTGAAGAACGACATGTACAGTACAGGAAAGCCAGGTTTTTGTTGGCAATCCCTGCTTGAAGGATAATTTTCCGTGAGCAAATGTTTTGGGAAGATCAGTTCTGGGACTGATTGCTTGGGAGCCCACTTTAGATAAAGATAACCCAGTGGTTTAGAAACAACCATATCATTTTGTGAATATTTGCCCCCTTCTTTTTATGGCCACCATCTTTGGATGTATCATCAATTGTCCACAGGTTCCCACAATTTTTCCTTGTACAAACCCCAAAAAGATGCAGAACAGGTTAATTTTTTCACTACCTTTGAGACCCAATTGATTTTTCTCTCTCGTTTCTGCATTTTTTGGGGGTCTTTTTGGGGGTCACCACCATCAAAAGCCGAAGTGAAAAACCGGCCACTTCGCGGCCACATCGCTGCAAGGCGGCGACTTGGGCTTCTCTGTGGGTCTCTTCACAGGCCTTGCGGTGCTGTGTATCGTGACGCTGATTGCCAGGTGCGCGGCTTTTTTCGGCTTTTTTCGGCTGCGCGGCCGCCGTTTTTGTTGGGGGTACGAATGGAGTTTCCCCACGTGACAGTGAAAACAGAACAGGTGGGATGATTTTAGATGGCAGGTCAACTTTTGCTGAAGATTCTTGCTGTTTTTCTTTTGATGGCCTGAATGATTGGCTTTTCAATGCCTAATTGGTTGCCATTTTTATGGACCACTGTGCCATACACATCGGGGGGTTAGTTTCTTTAGGGTTAGTTTAGGGTTACGGCTTGGTTAGGGTTTATTTTGGGTTTGTGGAAGGTTCTTTGGAGCTATTTGGGGTTGCTTTAGGCTTTACTTATGGGCTGTGATTTAGTCTTTCTTTATATAACCTTTATCCATGCTTTCTTTAGGGTTGATTTGCAGATTGGGTTACTGTAATTTGGCGTTCTTTTGCATTGTAAATCATGGAGAATATGTTTAAGACAGGTTCAAAAGGTGATGCCAATGCATCACCTTAGGCGCGAAAATGTGACCAGACGGTTGGCAGTTTGTGAAAAACACGCGCCGAAGCAAGCCAGCAGCTTGCAGTCCCGCACTGGACAAACATCAGCCCCCAAAGGCCCTAGCGACTCATCTACATGTATACACTGTATACATTATATATGTATGCATGTATTATATATATGTATACGCACATGTATCCATACACATACTAATACATATATCTTATGCAGATACATGTTTAGAGATATGTAGACGGAGGCGCTTCTACTGAGTGGTCCAGATGGGGATTATGGCAATCTATTTCTGATCTTACCCAAGATTTTAATGCTATTCTTACTATCAAAATGTCTTGCAACCCCAAAACACTTGTTCCAGAAACCCCTATGGCCCTATGATTATTTCAGGACTAAAACACAGGTTTCCCGAGTTTCCTGTAGATTTTCACGTAAATCCATCCCCCAAGAAAAACACAATGGCATGATGGGTCGCTGGGTCGCCATAGATCCCATGCCTGGCAGGCGGATACTGTACGGTGGAGAACTGGGGGGCCCCCAGATTCCCAAAGTCATCACAGCAGGTGCGCAGCGGCCATGGCCCATGGTTCAGAATCGTGTTGTCCTGATGAAAATGATGAAACTATGGACGAGGATGGACACTTTCAGGGTGTACTCCAATTTCAGACCAACACAAAGGATGGATCGGATGGACCTTGTTCCAAGATGGAAAAGGGTTGAGAATCGATAGCTGTGGTAACCCAGGAGTGACTCTGTTCATAAATGCTGAGTTAATTGGTTAGGGGATCCTCAACGTTGTGATTCATCGAAACATAAATGGCAACCCCAATATTATACAACACATGTTTACACTTAAGCCAGTGTTGACATAAGTGGAAGGAGGATCAGTCAATGGCTAAAAATAAACATGATTTGCACTCCACAATTGGATGCTTTTTCGTGACATCAAAATCACCTCTGTGAAGCCCAAAACGAAGCCGGATGGATCAAGGGCAAGATTGGGTACCCTAAATTGGATGATTTGGATGATTCGGATGATTCATTACTAGAAGTTCTTGGGTTTTGAAGAGCCTTTGATATTGATCTGATCCCAAGAATCCCGCACTCCGACAGCGCGCCAGTTTTCTTGGTGATCCTTTGGATCGTTTATGTCACCGTCTCCGTCCGCGTTCCCAGTGATAGTCTCTTGGGCAGGGCAGAGCGTTGGAGCCGTTGAACGCCATGGTGAGATTAATCCTTGTTGAACTCGTTTCTGGCATTTTTTTCCAACAAAAACAAAAGTGGGAACTGACTGCTTGTCTTCCAAAGTTCAAAGTATATATACCAATGGTATGTTTGATAATTCAGGAATTCAGGTCCCCCACTTGATGGAACAACTGAGCATATGTTTGATACACACTGCTCTGGTTGCGGAAAATGAATACAGGACACCGCCCTGGTGAAATGATGTGAAATGTATTGGATCTGGGAAAGGGAAGAAACGCCTTTTTGAAGTGGCAGCTATGACAGAGATACCCCATGAATTTGTGAATCCTTCGTAAACCATGCCCATAATCCAATCTACCCGGTTGTGTTTGTGCCCTCCGGACTTTAGTTTCTTTCGATCACTCATCATTAATCCCGTCACTTCAAAGGCACAACCACTCCCAGATAGATAACCCTTGGGCTGTTTGATGAGGGGATACTATTTTCATGGCATCAGACTGTCAGACAGGGGTACGATTCGTTCGGGGTTGACTTTCATGTTGGGCAAAGCCAAGTTTCCATCTTATACACATATATATATATATATGTAATATGTATATATATATATGTATGTATAATATATATATATATATTCGGTATATATATACACATATATATATACCATATATATATACACATATATATACATATTATAATATGTATATTTGGTTGGATTTGGCGGTGAATTCCCATTCTTGTTTCACCAGCTGCAATGGACAGGCGGTGAACATTATCGCCAACAAGGGCCCCTGCGACTGACCGCCACGGTCTGGTTCGGGGGCGCGGTTCAAGCTCCAGTGGAAGACTGTTCCTGTGGGATTGACCAAACAATGGACCAATGGAAGTACATTCTTTGGTGGGATGGGGTTAGATCCTGAAAATCACCACTGACTATCTCCGACAATCCAAAGCTAGTTTTATATTGCCACTGGTGTAGCAAAAGTCCTGGCCACCGCGCTGCAATACTTGGACTGACTTTGGGCGGCATAGCAGCATCCTTTTGCACAACAAACTAGAGCTTGGGGCGCATGCGCGCACATTGGCTGCTTTAAGCAGCCGTTCCTCCGGTCGCGCTGGGCTTTTGAATTTGATGGTGAAAAGGATAGGAATCAGCAACTTGCGAGCCGACAAGCAGCCTTACCAGAAAGTCGTTGGTTCAATTTGGTGTCCATCATCTCTGCTGATATGTGACGAAATTCCATTTGCTTTGATTGACGGAGATCTCATGACAGCATTTCACTTTCTTCTTTTTCACGAAAGCTAGCGGCAGCTAGCTGGAGTTACTCTTGCTTCAGCCAGGGGAGGCGCAGGTCCGAGTCCAACACAGTGATTTTTCACTCGAACCCCCCCTAACCTCCCGAGGCATTTTGGAGCGGTGTCGGAAGCAGATGGTCACGGGCTCAAATCCTGCTAGGTCTCTAGGCAATCTGCATCAAAATCTCATCAAAATCCCATCATGTTTCCAGGCTCATATGAACCTTAGCTTTCGTTCAACCCCCCCAAAAGGGCCTCAAATTCCCTTTTTTTCTACGAGTACCGTGGGGTCGACTGAAGCAAGGGATGAGTATATTTCTGACCGACTTGGACTCAGAATTTTGCCCCCTTACGAGGAATTTCAATTGCGGCAGCGATCCAAAGTCCAGCGCGTTCTCGTTTCACCCATTGGCATTTGGCCAAAGTGCCGATGATTGGTCCAGCTGGGATGATGCAGAAACGATTGAGGATAGATCAGATATTGATCAGATTTTAGTCATGATAAATCCAGCCATGTTGGGAATTGATATGATTCGGCAGGACCAACTCAACGTCATGCGGTAATAAACCCAATATATAATTATCATTGATAGTTTATCAATGATTCGCCGGCAATTGAGGAGGATTTCAATCCCACCGATTTCTGGTAAAACTGGGGATGGTTGGTTAATGTTGGTTAAGGGTTACCACAAAGCAACCCTTCAGAAAAAACAGGTGCAAAACGTCAAGGCATCACCGATATCGAATGGCCGGTCCTGCCCCCTGGGAATGGGTCAATGTGAGACCTCCCAGCAGCATCTCTTGGTGGACCTGAATCGACCCGGGTTTTGACCCGGCGTTGTGGGCGGAATCGCGCCAGCCCTGCAGGGTTGGGCAGAAATGCAGATTGAGGGGTGAATTTGAGAAGTGTCAAAAACCCTCCAAAGGTCCAGTCCTTTCTGGTGATAGCAAAGGATTGAACATTCAAATTTTCATCTATTTTAAGCTTGATGAACCTTAGTTTTCTACTGCTCCGCATGGTGATTTCATCCAGTCGAATGAGTCCAACATAGAAGCAAACCTGCTCAGAATGGTGATTTCATCAAGTTGTGGGAGTTGCCAGGGTTCGATTTTGGAAGCTCCTTTCACCCGTCCCAACCCTGCAAAGGGCACCACTCCGTTCGTCCTGTCTTCGAAGCCTTTGCGATCAGAGCAGTCACTGCGGTATCGAAATCACCGGGTAAACCATTGCTGGTGAAACGTCGATTGAATTGATTGAACTTGGATTCATGTTAAAGATTTTGATAGGAACATGGATCATACCCGCTAATACCCCCTACAATTCAACTGAACCTTGCAGGGTTCCAATCTAGCCATGATTCTGAAGGCAAAACATGGCAAACATCATCATTGTGAAAGAAGACCATTTTGCATGGAACAGAGTTCAATTGAACGACCAAGGGACCTGAATTCTTCAACAACATCGATGATTCCATTGTTATGACTTACGCCCAGATTCGAACGTTTCAGTGATTCTGTGCACGATATGTTGCAGGAAATTGAGGATAGCCAAAACTGGGATGTGTGTTTGAAGCACCTTAGTAGAAGGACCAATGGGGAAGCCATTGCGATCAGTAAATGATAGGTTTAACTTAATGTTTTTTTCTTCTTACCTTCATATCCACTTCGCTTGTTCCTTATCCGGAACTACGGGGAGGAAGATCAATAGTGGGTGGATCTATTGATAATATACTCTCTGTTTGAAGAAGGGCTGATTTCACCTCCAAAAAGTGTCCAAAAAGTCCGACTTCAAGGCCGGGATGGTTGTAGCCAAAGCCAGCCAGCTGCTGATGGCTGCTGGCACTGATTTTGGGGATTGCTGCTGGCACTGATTTTGGGGATTGTAACATTGTCACCCGAACCGAGTTCATTATACACTCGACATTTTTTCCCCACCTGCCAGGTGAGGGTTGTTAGATTTTATGTCAGTTGCCTCCTCCTCCTCCTGCTCCTCCTCCTCCTCCTCCTGCTCCTCCTCCTCCTCTCCTCCTCCTCCTCGTCCTCCTCGTCCTCCTCGTCGTCCTCGTCGTCCTCGTCGTCCTTGCTCAACTGCGACCCGCGATCCACAGTGTTCTCTGCCGGACCTCAACCACGACCATCCACGCCCAGTGTTCCCTGCCGGACCTCAACCACGACCATCCACGCCCAGTGTTCCCTGCCGGACCTCAACCACGACCATCCGTGCCAGTGTTCCCTGCCGGACCTCAACCGCGGGTATCCATGCCAAGTGTTCCCTGCCGGACCTCATGTAGGAAGATATGGGACAAAGAATGTGCAGAAGAAAGTTAGAAAGAATGTCAGAAAGAATGTCAGAAGATATGCCAGAAGATATGCCAGATAGAATGCAAAATAGAATGCCAGATAGAATGCCAGATAGAATGCCAGAAGATATGTCAGAATATATGCCAGAAGATATGCCAGAAAGAATGCCAGAAGATATGTCAGATAGAGTGCCAGAAGATATGCCAGATAGAATGCCAGAAGATTTGCCAGATAGAATGCCAGAAGATATGCCAGAAGATATGCCAGATCATAGGCCAGAAGATATGCCAGATAGAATGCCAAATAGAATGTCAGAAGATATGTCAGATAGAATGCCAGAAGATATGTCAGAATATATGCCAGAAGATATGCCAGATAGAATGCCAGATTGAATGCCAGAAGATATGTCAGATAGAGTGCCAGAAGATATGACAGATAGAATGCCAGAAGATTTGCCAGATAGAATGCCAGAAGATATGCCAGAAGATTTGCCAGATCATATGCCAGAAGATATGCCAGATAGAATGCCAAATAGAATGTCAGAAGATATGTCAGATAGAATGCCAGAAGATTTGCCAGTAAGAACATGTATAAATGTCATGGTGGGGATCACACGAAGTAAAGTATTTTTTTTGTCGCCCCTGGCGGTTCAACTACCAACAAGCTTCGGCTTGCGGATGATTCAATTTCTTCAAAACCAAATTTGACCCCCGTGGAAATCCAGCAGCCATGAGGACCTTAGAAACGATGATTTCTTATCAGCGGCAGGACGGGGTTGTACAACGAGTTTGGTGCACTCCCAGCCACAGAATCGTGGACGGAAGTTGCCGGAATCGTGGCGGGGGGATCGCAGTTTCGTGAAAAAATCGGAGTCGACTGTTGGGAGAAGTGGGATACAACATGATTGTAACATGATTGTAACATGGTTGTAACATGATACAGCTGAACTTGGATAGGACCCACCGGGCTGCGCCCCTGTAAGTACTCTGAATTTCGTCTTGCGAAGTTCACGTGGAGCGCCACGAGGAACTGAGCTACAACTTCAATGTGGGGCTTAGTGACAAAGTGAAACATCGTGAAAGAACTAGCTGACACAGTATTCTACGTGTATCTAGTGTCTAATACTGTATATCTGCATATACATCTATAATATTCTATAATCATCTATATTCAGATACGGATACAGAGCATTTCACTGGAGCCAGGCCTCCAACCCCGATCCCATGCTGGGTGCATCAGCTAGTGGAGGTGGAGCGCTTCGTTGGGGTTTGATGGCTCCAGTTTTTTCTTAGCAACATGGCATGTCATGGGGAATACATGGGAATATCATGGAATATTGCAGTTTATGGGAAATTGAATGGGAGATGGATGATCAACTTAAATCAGGAATACCCAAATTTTCCTGGCAAAGTTTGA